GTGCAAGGATGAGACCCAGACAATAGCACAGTGACTGACGGTGGCAGTGGTAATTTGCGTCAGCTCTAACAAGCTGGTGTTGAAATTGGGTGGCGGAGTGCCAAGGAAGCCAAGGTTAGCAGACTTGGAAATAATGAAGTGAGTCATGTAACCCAGGAGTCGCACATACCCACAGGACCGTGTATCACCTCATCTCCAAGGGGACCCACGAGTATGGCGTAGGCCAGGTGTACAGCCTGGTGCGTGTGTCCGAGGAAGCAGAGGCACAGCCCTCCTTGCCTTGCTGGGGAGTCAGAGATAGAAGACAGGGAAGATAAAAGTGAATATCCAAGCGTAAAGCGCAGACAGAGGAAAGCCACCAGCAGACAGGGACAGGTGAACAGAGTAAGCCCAAGCAGAGCAGTGCATCGCAAAGGCAAAGCCACTACGGTGGCAGTAGCGTGGAGCAGGGCCTGTGATGGAGCCCTGCAGTGCTCTTTCCAGCTGATGGGGTTGGGATTGGGGTGGGGGTGGGGGTTCTGGATCCTGTACGAGCCAGGGGCTCAGAACTAAGCTGGAGATCCTAATGGCTCAGCATTTTCTCTTCATTCGACAAATTATGCCATGCATTGACTTAGACGCTTGGGATGCAGCGACAGATGGGTCCTTGCTCTTGCAGAGCTTGTGTTCTTGTAGCAGAAGCAGACACTAAACACGAAAATAACAGAATGTGGCAAGTTGAGAATGAAAACAGATGATTAAATGAGAGAGCTTGGAGAAGTCCTTGGATCTGCCCAGAAAGGTAGGGGGCACCACGCCAGAGAGACAACTGAGAGTGAAGGGTGAGGCTGCCTGGGAGGGGCTGCGGAGACCCGGGGGCCAGAAATGTCTTGTCCAGGGGCTGGTGGAGACCCACATGGCAGCATGAGGGGGGCAGAGGGGCGGGCGTAGGAGTTGGATTGCAGAAGACCCTTGGGGGTCAGGTTGCCGAAATTAATTTTCCCACTGTGAAATGTTCAGATCTTTTGTTCAGTCAGTTTTTGACAAATACATAGCAAGCCACAGGCTATTTCTGTTGCCTGGGAGAATTCCTTCGTGCTTCTTGCTATTCGGATTTCTCTCCAAAAGAATCAACCACTGAGGAACACTACTGGGCAGTAAAAAAAATGACACATGGATACCCCTGGAAAATATAATGTTGAATGGGGGGGGACACCCCCCCCAAAAAAAAAAAAAACCCAACCCTGACACACAGACTTATTTAGGCCATGTCTTTTGGGGTTTTTTTGGTACTGGGAATCGAATTCAAGACCTTGCTCTTGCTAGGCAGGTGCTTCTTCCACTGGGCTGCGTCCCCAGCTGGTATCTTTCATATGAGTGAGGCACAATACAAAGAACATGATAAAGGATAGCTAGCAACAGACAAGGCCTGTATCTCTTGCAGTAGGGAAGTGGTCCAAGGGAACCGGTGAAGGGTGAGGAGGGAGATGTGATGAATAAAGTGCTGTAGAAGGAGCCCGCACCCAGCTGGTGTGAGCACTGTGGCATCACATGGGCTAGCAGTATCACAATAAGTACACTGTAAAAAGGGGGAGAGAATGGAGGAGAGTGGAGAGGGAAGGGGCTTTACTTTTATTTTTAAATGAATTTTAGGACAGGGTCTACAGGGTGGACAGGGTCTCACTACGTAGATCGGACTCGTCGTGATTCTCCTGTTTTCAGCCTCCCAAGTGATGGGATTATAGGTGTGTGCCACCATCCCAGTCTCATTCACCACCTCAGTGTGCCCCAGGGGCGGAGCCAGTGCAGCACACCGGGGATCGAACCCCCACTGCTGTGCTCCACCGAAGCAGGTGCTTTAGTCTGCTGAGCTATTTGGCTTGCCCAGAAGGGACTTTAAAAGAAAAGAAACAAGCTGTACACATAACCCCTCACAAGATGATTATAAGTGGCATAAATTACAAACATGTAGTGAACAAAAAATACTTAAAAAAAAATCAGTCATTGATGTGGTTTGTGTCACCATAGGTTGGTTTTGTTCTAGAATCCTACAGGTGTGGTCCCACCCACACTGACTCCTCTCTCCTTCAGGGTAGCGTCCTCACTGACTTCTCTTTCTTGCTGGGGAATGTTCCATTGTGTGGATGTACCACTTTGTCTCTTTTCCTGTTGGGGACATCTAGGCTTTCCCAGTGGGTTCAAGTTAGACTTGGGCTGTAGGGTGGCTTCAGGATGGTGGTAGTGGAAAGGCAAGGAGGACACAGTGACTGGTCTGTGAGGGGAGAGTTGGTGGGGCGTGTGGGAGCGTGGAAGAGAAAGAATCGAGGCTGATGCCTGGGTTGTTGGCTCAAGCAGTGGAAATGATGGTGGTTTCATTGACCAGAGTGGAGGAGACCTGGGAGAAGGAGGTTTGGGATTAGGGAGAATCAAATGTGTTTTCTTGGAAGGGTTAAATTAATTTTGTCTGTTAATAAGTGTTATTTTGATGATACAATGAGATTATTGTATTTTGCGACTCGGCATAGGATCTGGAATGTTCTTGAGTGTTTAATACATGTTAGCTATTAGTAAAATGCAGTGTCAAATAATAATTATTGGTCCTAAAAAAGAAACTAGTCCAATTGGAGAAGGAGGAAACCAGGTAGAGGAACAGTGGGAAATAGGGCCTACTGGGCTATGAAAATTAGTTTAAGAAGGTCTTGAGGGGGGCTGGCGAGATGGCTCAGTGGTCTAGAGCACCTACATGGAACAAGCTTGGCAAAGCACAGGGACCACGGTTCGATCCCCCAGCACCACATGCCAGCCAGCCTCGCCCCCTCGTGGGCTGAGCTGGCCACACACACACATACACACACACACACAATAAATAAATAAATGTTTAAAAAAAAAAAAAAAGAAGGTCTTGAGGGGGTTGGGGAGATAGCTCAGTTGAATAAGCACTTGCCTGGCAAGTGCAAAGGCCTGAGTTCAATCCCCGGTAAGAATTTCAGTTAGAAAAATCCATTTGATAAGAGTCTGCATTTTTAATTTATTTATTTTTTTCATTTTTTTCTGTATTTGATGCAGG